GACTTCGGCGGAGGCAACCGTCCTCCGCTGCGCGTCGGCCGGTTTACGCCTCGCCGTCGTCCATTAAAACCTGACAATGGACACCTCGGAGGGCATTAACCCTTACTTATACCTGGGTTGTCTTGTTGGTAGCCAATATCGAAACCTATTGAACAGGACTTAGTATTGTAAGCATGAAACTAAATACTGTTTTTTTTTTTTTTAAATCTTTTGTGTTCGATAGAGACAGAAAATCATGCCCGTTTGAAACATCATGAGGGTGAGTAAATGATGACAGTCATTATTTTTGGGTGAACTATCCCTTTAAGGTCCTGGCTCACACCTAATTCTCACAATCCAGACCGTTTTAAAGGTTATTTTTATAATGTTAAGCAAAAACATTTGTGTAAAAATAGAGAGGGAGAGGAAATAAATTGCAAATACACAGTGCACAAGGATTAATGCTCCTTAAAAGTGTGTGTCAACTGCTCTGGCTGATGCCAGTGTAAAATTGCACCTTTGGCAAACATTCTGCAGCACATAATCTGTCACTACCTACTAATATTCACAATTTATGTGCATTTGGTCACCTTTCAGGACCCATCAACATACACCACTGTAGCTAGTTTACTTTCCACTATATTATAACTTTATATAATGAAAGAGCAATTCAAAACCCTGAATAACATCGAAAAGTTGTCAATAAAACAGAAAAGCAAAAGTGCATGTTACAGTAGGTGACTAACTGCACACAAGAGATTCAATAAATAATATGAATTAAAAACATATCATAATAGACATTATATATGTTATTTTTGGGGTTAAGCATTGCTCAATAGATGTATTGCATGTTGTTGGAAATGTTATATTATATTTATGCTTTCATTATGTGATATTAACATGTGTTTCTAAGGTAGTTTGTGTGTCATTTGTAAGTTCGATGGCATCACGCTAAGTCAAAATGTGGACAGTATATACTGTGATGCTGCTTGTGCCTTTTTCATTTGTGCGAGAAAGAAAAGCATAAAGTTTTTGCCTTCCAAGCTTGACCACTATGTCAACAATCAATTATTTAATTCTCCAGCGAGAAGAGTTGCCCAGTATTGCCGCTGTTGAGATAGACTATAAGGTTTCAGTAAAACCGTTTGTTGTTGGATCTATAATTACTTGTCTTGTTCAGGGATAAACTAAAACTCCCTCGCTCTCTGCCAGGGCAAAAATGTTAAAGTGTTTCTTTTATAAAGTGTTTTGTACAGAAATCATTTTTGAGGTTTGTGAATATTTTACTCCTAGCCTAATGGGGCCAGAAAAATAAATAAATAAATAAACCTAGCATATTTTTATGCTTTATTTATGAGACAGAATAAAAGTGAAAATCTTTCAATCCCATTAAGAACACATACTGTATAATCAAGATATTTATCTTAGCTTTACTTCAGAAAAATTACAGTTTAAAATTAATTACAGTAAAAATTAAAATACATTACAGTTGACGTGATTAGTTAATATATTCTGTTTTTTTTTTAATTATTTATTTTTTATGTTGTCTATTTAAACTTTTGAATGGTAGTGTATGTTGTGAAAAATATTTTAGATAAAACATCACAGAGTGTTTATTTATAGATTACTTAAAGACAATGAGCACTATTGCATTCATTTTGACAGATATGATTTTAAAATCATACAGTATGCAACTACTTTTAATTCCAATGCTATTGACTGTTCTGAGAGTTGATGGAAAACTTGTATGTATTAGCATTTCTCTCAGACTTTAACCTATGTTTTAAAGCGTCGTCCCCTTGGAGGAAGTCGTGTAACTTCAACACATAAAAACACACAAAGGAGTCTAATGTGTGAATGGTTTTTCTGGCTAATTCCACAGGATTCAACCTGGTTGGCCTAGACGGGCCAGGGGGTGAATGTGGCTCAAAGTGGGACATTAAAGTTGTCTCCAAAATGTTTTTTTTTTTTTTTGCATTTAGCAGGAACAAGGCAGGCCGGCTAAAACTAAGGAGTAAAAATTGAAATAGAGGAAATCCCGAAATTCTACAAGGTTTCATAAATAAATAAATAAAATAAAAAAATTAAATTGCCCTAATTATGGATTTTTGAAAATTACCTTTCATGTAGTGTGTAATGTAACAACTCTGAAGATCGGATCGGCACAGGGAATTTAATAATTAATAATTGAAAATTAATAATTATTCATACAGGTTTTGGGTCACATGTTATTAAATCTCCCGATAAGGATGATATATATATATATATATATATATATATATATTGTCAATTAATAATTAATTACATGATTAAAATATTGGAGTGAATTGGAGCTATTTGCAATTATCACATTATTACTGTCTTACTGAAATACTTCAGAAAATCAGTTGTGGGACACTATTACCTAAAACTGTGTCTATTAATGCAGATTGTCACTCGTTCTCACTACTTTGAGGAAAGATTACGCATGGTCATGGAGCAATATTTGTTCATGGAGCAGACTGAGCTCAGGACAAGCAGAGCTGACGTTGTTATGACAATGGGTGTTTTTGTTGCGACAAACGCGCTGTACACAGTAAACCAATCACAACAGATTGAGCTGTCTGGCCAATCAGCATAGCCGTCAACCCTCCCATTGTTTTCCCGCTGTCTTCCCGTTTTAGTATTTATGTGTGAGACGTACAAGCTCGGACAGATTCGGCTTGAAGTCGCTTTACAAAAAAGCTGTGCACACAGCCAAGCGAAATGAGGTCTTGCCGGTCTTGCGCACCCAGCTTGTCATTTTGTCGCATCGAGTATAAAGGCTTTACTCCATGTCAGCGCACGCTCTGATCGGTAAAGGTGCACAGACCTCTCCCATCTCCAGCAGAAGCACCACTAACTCTGCCTTCGTTTCCCTCGTAAACTAATATTAGTATTTAAACAACATTTCTTTTAAATGACACACTGTCTCTTTCTCTCTCACACACATATGTAGGCTAGTTATAAACTCTTTTGACTTTTAATGATTAGCGCTTTATTTTTAAAGTTTGTGGGTAAGAATCGTGTAAAACAAATTCCCTTATTTTGGGATGGATTCCGGGAAATCTCCCGTATTTTCAATGTTCAATGTTGACAGCTATGCCAATCAGAGGAAAGTAGGGAATCATTTGTTTGAGAATCATTGGACTTTTTTTGACATTAGGAAACTTTGAAATAGCATAATAGGGGCACTTTCAGATAAAAGGGGCCACATTCAGATAAATAAAAACAAATATATGTGATAATAAGTTACAGTTTTTCTCAATTGTTTACACACAAATTCTGGTACTTGAGACAAAATGACCACAACATGTAACTAAACCAATTCTACTAAACTACAAGCACAATTCCTGCTTTACACTCAAATCGCAGTTCTAAAACCCGCTTTTTTTTTTCAAAACACTACACACAATTCTCTGTTTTTGGCACAATTTTCATGCAGAAAATATCTTGTTTTCACAAGGAACACACTGTCATTCAAATATGCACACTGACTCATGGTGGGTTCTATTATACCCAACGAACTGACTCGGACCTCGGATTTGACGTCACGTCCACACTTCAAGCGTTCTATTATGTTTTGCGTGTCCGAATCAGAGAAAGCTGTTGTCATGGTAGCACTGGCCGAGTACCAGGCACTTACATAAAAAAAAAAAAAAAATATATATATATATATATATATATATATATATATTGACTACACCTTATCAAAACGCAGCCATTTGAACTTGAAAATGTTCACTTTATTTAATGTTTTTCATGTTAATCTTCTGTTTTCTGTACTAACAACGTTAGTAATTGCACTCACAACAACTGATTCCCATACCTACAGGGGACGCAGTAATACGAGTGATTATAATCGTCATTTAAAATACAAAGGCTGTTCAAAAACAATGAAAACAATTAATTCTTACAAGTCACAGGGCGCAGCCATCTTGAATTCCGAAACGGAATTCTTGCTCGGTGTCCTCACGGTTGTCCGACGTCCGAAAAGAGAAATCTGAGGAAAGAGGGCGTGTTGCTAGGCAACGTCTGTCATCCGATTCGGATCTCCGAGACGGATGAATAATAGAACGCACCATCATCACAAGGGCAAACACCCATTACACAGTTTTACAATTAGCAATCAGAGCTTTAGGATAAAAGGGCAACAGGTGAGCTCTTCAATGGAGCAATGGATGCCCACATTGGAAACAGAGCCAGAGGAGTGAGAGTAAGAGGAGGAGGAGGCCTAGGACCGTAATCTCTGATGAGATCCGAGCCACTTTGGTTGATCATGTGCTCAACCATGGTCTATCAATGAGGGAGGCTGGGCAAAGAGTACAGCCAAATCTGAGCAGGTACACTGTAGCATACATCATCCGGACTTTCCGAAATGAGAATAGGTAAGGTATCTATTCTCACTAGAAAATTGCAGTACTGCATATCAATACAGTACTCAATGAGTACAGTAGTACAGTGCCTGTGGACTGTTCTGTAGGACTGTAATACAGTTTTTGCCCATTGCTTGAACACTATAGACACATGCTTAAACCAAAGTAACATAACCTGAAGTTGTTCTTACTATACCTTAAACAAAGTGCAACCATACCTTAAACAAATGCGCTGCTTTGCACTTTAGTTGCAATTCTGTAACACACTTGCTCCTTTCTGCAACACACTTGCTCCTAGACACTACACACTATTTCATACATAAGACACTTAGTTCAAAAATGAAATCTCAGGGTACCATTGGGAAAACACATCTATTCAAAATACAACACACATTGGTTAATTGAAAAGACACAGACACACCTGAAAACACTTACTTACAAAAATGAAGACCAATCAGCCAGCTACAAAAATGCCTCAGTTAAGCCGTTTTGAGAACTTTGCAAGCATGGAGGCAGGGAGAGCTAGAGGCAGAGGAAGAGGAGGACAGAGAGAGAGAGAGAGAGAGAGAGGAGGACAAAGAGAGAGAGGAGGACAGAGAGGACGTGGTCAAAGAGGCCACACAAGGACCATTATTTCGGATGACATAAGAGCAACTTTGGTGGACCATGTTATAAACCATGGCCTGACTATGAGGGAAGCTGGGCAGAGAGTCCATCCTAATCTAAGCCGCTTCACAGTTTCATCCATAATAAGGACATTCCGACTGGAAAACAGGTATGTCTTCAACTCTCTACTCTACTCAGACTGTATCTAGAGTATTTACAGTACTGTAGCCTACCATATCACGTTACTGTATGACATGTATTGTATTCCAGAGTGCTAAAGCTCCTTTTTTTCAACAAAAGTGGTAGTTTTGTGAAACATACCATGATACTGTAACGTGTTGAGATGTTTCAGTGCTGTATATGGTAAATACAGTAAAGTTCAGTATACACAGTACTGTAAAAAAGAAAAAAAAAACGAGAACAATTTGTGGTTGCATTTTTCTGCAGAATGACTAGAAGACCTGCTGGGGGTGGACGCCAACGCCTGTTCACGCAACAGCAGGAACTTGCCATAGTGAACCTAGTCAGAGCAAACAATGCAATCCGTCTCCACCAGCTACAGCAACAAATACTTGCAGATAGACAAGTATTCAACAACATAAATCGAGTAAGCATTACAACTATCAGACGGATCTTGGTAAAGCACCACATGACCATGAAGCAACTGTACAGGGTCCCATTTGAGAGGAACAGTGTCAGGGTCAAAGAACTTCGACATGAATATGTGCAGGTAAGTGTTTCAGTCCTTTACATTTACAATAAAGAATGGGTGCACAGTAACAGATCCATCCAGAGCCATCCACAAAATGTATTTTTTGTTACAGAGAATCTTGGACATGGATGGGGCTGCCCAGCCGCATGAATGTATTTACATTGACGAGGCTGGATTCAACCTTAGCAAAAACAGACGACGGGGACGTAATATCATTGGCCAAAGGGCAATTTTGCACGTCCCAGGGCAGCGTGGGGGAAATATCACTTTGTGTGCTGCCATAAGTCTTCGAGGGCTACTGCACCATCATGCCAAACTGGGTCCCTATAATGCACAACACATAATAACATTTCTAGATGCACTTCATGATGCAGTTGTACAGGATGGACCAGAGCAGCCCAGGTTTGTTGTTGTCTGGGATAATGTCAGTTTCCATCGGGTTGCTCTGGTCCAGGACTGGTTCACAAACCATGATCAATTTGAAATTCTGTACTTGCCCCCTTACTCGCCATTTTTAAATCCTATAGAGGAATTTTTTTTCCGCTTGGAGATGGCGTGTATATGACCGCCAACCACATGCCCGTATGCCTCTTCTGCAGGCAATGGAACAGGCCTGCGGAGACATTCAGGTGAGGTCAATCCAGGGATGGATTCGGCTCACAAGGGGATATTTTCCCCGATGCTTAGCAAGAGAAGACATTGCTTGTGATGTTGATGAGATCCTGTGGCCAGACCCCAACAGACGGCAGGATCCATAAGCCCACTTGCGCACAATTGTGTTTTTCTGTGTTTATAGTAGTGTGTTGTTTGTTTTATTTTTGATTTAACTGAATTTACTGTACTGTAAAATATACTAATTTAATAATTTTGAATTCATTATTTCATTTTTTGGTAACTGTGAAAACATGCCCTCTATGGAATTGAATAAAACATTGACAACAAAAGACTGTAGTTTTTTATATATAGTAGACTAGTGTGTTGCTGCTGATCTGAAAGTGTATTCATATGATGCAAGTGGGTATCATTTTGTCATCAGAGTGACATTTTGACAAAGGATTGTTAGGTTTTGATAGTAGAGTTTAAATTTGACATAGATGTGAATGGTTTATTTTCCAATGTTGTGTCTTATTTGCTTGTGTGTAGAGTTTTGACACAATGAGCCAAATTTAGCAAAATGTGTGTAAGCAATGGGCAAAAACTGTAATACTGTAAAGTATGTTTCAAGTATTTAAGAAATGTACACCTACTTTGTATTTACAGTATTTTACTATTTGTTTGGCAGAACTGAAAGATTACCAAGACAGGGTGGTCAGGAATGTGTTCTGTCTCCTGAACAGGAAACTGAAATCATAAACATGGTCCTAGAAAACAACATAACATTACAGCAAATACAAAGAAAAATTAAAGCTGCAAGCAGCGATGGGCGGGCCCTCGCACCTGTAGCGTGTCGGGGTGTGAGGCGGCCGCGTTGCATATTTTGCAGCTCAGCCGGTGCGGCTGTGAATTTGCTACGCTGCTTCATTAAAGGTCACTTCCTATTGCCAGCAGGTGGCGCTATGACTGTGGGTGAATGTCGGCATGTAGATTTGTTCAGGGCGGGACTCTTGTCAAATGTGTAAAATTTTGTGCAGATCTGGGCATTTACAGCCAAGTTACTACAACTTCCTGTTTCATGGCGAATCTTCGACGCCACGGACACACCCATTGACGAAAACGCACAGATAGCACAACTTTACATTGTCAATGCCTTTAGAAGGCACAGCACAAATGTGAAGTCGATCCAACTAAAGCCCTAGGAGGAGTTCGTTAAAGTACGTAATGAGTAAATCATCCAAAAATGGCGGTAAATTTCGAAATGGCCGACTTCCTGTTGAGTTTAGGTTATCGCACCAAGAGACTTTTCAGTGCGTCTGGACATGGTAGATGTGCCACAGAAATTTCGTACATGTCGGTCAAACATGCGACGGGGGCTGCTTCGTTAAAGGTCACTTCCTGTTGCCAGCAGGTGGCGCTATTACTGTGGGTGAATGTCAGCATGTAGATTTGTTCAGGGCGGGACTCTTGTCAAATGTGTAAAATTTCGTGCAGATCTGGGCATTTACAGCCAAGTTACTACAACTTCCTGTTTCATGGCGAATCGTCGACACCACGGACACGCCCATCGACGAAAATGCGCAGATAGCACAACTTTACATCGTCAATGCCTTTAGAAGGCACAGCAGAAATTTGAAGTCGATCCGACTAAATCCCTAGGAGGAGTTCGTTAAAGTACTGAGTGTGTAAATCGTCCTAAAATGGGCGCCAAATTCAAAATGGCCGACTTCCTGTTGAGTTTAGGGTATGGGTTCTTGAGGCTTTTTTGTGCGTCTTGATATGATACACGTCGCCACCAAATTTCGTGTTTGTAGGTTGAACGTGGACGAGGGGCTAATTTTTTCCAATTTTCTAGGTGGCGCTAGGGAGCCATTTTGCCACGCCCATCCGCGAAACCCACAAAATACGAAATTTTTCACCAGTCCTGACATGCGTGCCAAATTTGGTGAGTTTTTGAGCATGTTGAGGCCCCGAAAATGGCGCTTACTTTGCAGAAAAAAGAAAAAAGAAAAAACAGTTTCAAGAGGGAACTCCTGGTATGTAATAAGTAGAACGCGGAAGTAGTTGTGCAAGTAGTCCATTGAGGGGTTTTGCCCATTGTGTATGCGTTTTTTTTTTTTTTTTTTTTTTTTGATTTGTGTGTAGAGTTCTTTCAGAAAATGTGTGTAAACAATCGTGAAAAACTGTAATTTCATAAATCCAGTATGTCAGACCCACCTGCACTTTTGTTTTGTTTTTTTACTAACAATCACTTAAAACACCTTCAGTGTATGGATTAGAATTGTTTTTATAAATTTAAACAATTTGAGGGCTTTCTAGACAAACATGACAGAGAAGCAGCTCTCTCCGTGACCTGTCAACAAAATCATTATCTCACCTGTTTGTAACCCTACCTCGGAAAGCATCATTGACAGACACTGACATCTCATCAAAATCTCATTCCAGTCTTGCGTTACCTCCTTATAAATTTTAATGATTCAGGAGTCGATTATTCCACGTACAATGCAGTTAAACAAACTTCATTTTTTCCTTCTCCTTTTCCAGTACTCAAGAACAGCAAGCCTCTTTCTTTACACTGATGATAGCTTGCGGACTGTCCCGATGGATCTTTCTATCAGCAAGGTGCTTGTGTTTGGTATGCTGGTGGGTGAATCTTTTTTGAAACAAAGCTTCTATTCAGGTCCATTACTGCACCATTGATTTTCGCTCTAGGAGGTGGGCAGGGACTCCTTACTGAATATTTATGAATACACTGTGTTTAAGGCCACATGGAAGAAGTACAGGGACAAAGGAAACTATTTTGAAAGGAATTTCAGCAACGTGGTCAGCTAAGTTTGCTCTTCTACTACTACTTTCTTAAAAGTATGTATACGAAGGTCTGGTGGCAACTGGCAACATAATCTGAAATGATCCAACAGTGAACCTGTGCAAATTAAAAAAAAATGAGCATTTGCCATTTTTCACACCTTAACAGCCCAACAAACACATATTTCAGTTGCACTGTGTGTGTGTGTGTGTAACAGGTCTGCACAGACAAAGCACTTTGAGAATAAAGACATGCTTTTCAAATGGAGTAAAATTGCAGTCTATTAGAGGTCTCATGTTGTGAAAACTAGCTTTAAACCTGAACAGTTGGCCATAGTTATAAGCACTACTTGCAAAGAGGTACCTTGTTAAGTCGGAGGAGGGGAAACGTTATCCCACCGTGCAATCTCAGGTTTTGCATAAATGGCCGTAACTGCTCTCCTGCAAATTATTCTCACAGACATTTGAACAGAATTACGTCGCTTTACGTTCTGACTTTGTTATGAAAACCAAATAAAGGTTTTCTGGGGAATAAAAACAGTAGCATTTAGACACTAACAAATCCAAACTATAACAAAGTCCATTTAATGCATTTCAAGGGTCTTTAAAAATAATCAGGGACTTGTTAATCTTCCATAATAATATTGTGAAATATTAGTGATGTATATGTTATTTGTTATATGGTGTAGTTACAACAAATAACCAGCAGGAGCAAACTGGCTCATGCTAATCAGCCAAACCTTGATCCGCTGTCAGAAACCGTTCAGAGAGACTGTGATTTCTCATTTAGGCCCTGTTTACACAAGAACGCTCGCGGGTGAAAACGTAAAAATATTTTATCAGATGCGCCTTTCGTTTACACGGCGACGGCGTTTTTGAGGCTTAAAAATGCAAAAAAGTGAAACCACCCTCCAGAGTGGAAATTTTAAAAACGCTCCACCACCGCGTTCCCGTGTAAACAGTAAAAATGCAAAGTCTGCTTGACAGTGAAGGTTGTACGCAGGCGCGTGGACTTTTTGTTGTAGTATGCACTCCTAGTCGCCTGGAGTGCATACTACATTAAATTTCACACACTTTTGCGTCACCATTTGCACGCGGATTTCCGACACAAAACGCTTGTCTAAACGCAGAATAAAAAGTGATGACACAACGCCACTTTTGCGTTTTCTCTTCAGAATCGTTTCCGTGTAAACATAGCCTTAGTTGTAGGTCTTTGGATGGAAGCTGTCACGTAAACCTGTTACGATCTGTGATTGGATATACGTATCTACGTATAAGTACGTACTAAAAGAAAACAACGCAGATCACGTGTGTTAAGTGACGACATGTTGAAATAAAGTCAAGCTAAAGACAATCTTCCGTCTCCTCATATATTTTACGAAGATGGTAAAACTTCACATGGTGTCAGAAGTTAACTGAAACGGCACGCGGACTCGAAGATTAGTTTTCACTAGAGGAAACCGCCCAGAATGGCAAAGTTTTCGGCGCCAGAGCAACTTAACTTCGCTAAACCGGAGGATTGGCCCGATTGGAAACAACGCTTCTCCAGGTACCGAATAGCAACGAAGCTTAACAAAGAGCCAGCCGATGTCCAGGTCAGTGCATTGATTTATTCTATGGGCCCGGAGGCAGAACAAGTGTACAAATCATTCGTCTTGGAGGATGAAGAGGAAGAGGATTTTGACTATGTGTTGAGGCTGTTTGACGAGCACTTTGTGCCGAAAAGGAACGTGATTTTCGAGAGAGCACGTTTCCACTCGCGGACGCAAGAGGCGAGTGAGTCCGTTGAACAGTACATAAGGCACCTGTATGAACTCGCAGCTCACTGTGACTTTCATGAGAAGGATGAGGAAATAAGAGATAGACTGGTCATAGGGATTAAAGACAAAGATCTTTCATTGAAATTACAAATGACAAGTGACCTCACTCTGAAAAAGGCAGTTGACATGTCCAGACACTCTGAGCTAGTGAAGCAACAGAACAGCGAGGCTGGCGCATCAGGGCACGTTGATGAAGTAAAATCAAAGCCTTATAAAAGTAAATGGAAAAAAACACAGTATGAGGCAACGGGAGGAAGAAAAGAAAATGAACGGAAAAACTGTGGAAGATGTGGGCGCAGACATGCAAGAGACAAATGCCCAGCTAAAGACAGAGAATGTAATAAATGCCACAAAATTG